TATCTAGGGTTATCGATATGGCGTCCAATAGAAATCCATAAAAATTGATCTACGGCACGTGATCTGAGAATTTTTTTTGCCATGACTAGGGTACTAGTTCATATCTGGTATCAGACATATACTCATAGTAGACATTCGTTTGGCTGGTGTAAATCAATTGCCCGGGAAACTACTCTAAATGAATATAACTTACATGTTAAACTTAGATTAGTGAGCGTAGCTTTGGATTAAGTATTAGGTCGATAATATGTATTAATAAATATAGGCTAAAGGTCATAATAAAGGTCGTAAAATATAAAGAATAGCTTCGTTAATAATTCTGTAATATTTGAATTTGATCTACGTAAATTAGCCAATTAGATGAACGTTACCTATTACTTTATCACATAATTATTGAATGGAGAATTTTTATTGGTTGACTATATAAAAAAAAAAAAATTTACGATCCCCACTTTGTCAATGCGGGCAGGATATGAAAACCAACTATATAAATTTATATAGCCTTATTAATACAAAAACAAAATTTTCTGCCCAAGATAAACAACGTAAAAGTTGATTAATGAAAAGCTAACTAAATCGTATTAAAATTTGAAGGTATATAAAAAATGGCATTTTTTAATGCGCCAACTGCACCATTATACCTTCCATTACTTTATATAATTTATTTAAATAATATAAAGTAAAAATGCAAAATTTTTACTGGGTTAACCAGGTTACATGGGTTATGTGGATCATTTGAGATAAACCGGGTCGTTACCCAGTTTTGAGTTTGTAATACGGGTCAGGTTATCTAGAAAAGAAATTTTATATGGGCCTAATCTCTATCTGTGACCCACATAACCCGTTAAATTTAATGACCGTACGGGTTAACCTTATCCGGGTAGTAGCTTTAATAATATAGGTATATATATACAAAAACTATATATTGCACTTGTGGTATTCAACACTACAATAATCAAAATAATTTTTATTAGGATTAAAGGCTAGGGTAAAACAAAACAAGAAATTTTTTTGTTAAAGTTTAAAAAGTGGTTTCATAAATAAAATTTTAAGTTAAATTCTTTTTTTTTAAAAAAAATAAAAAGCCTATATTATACCTGATTTTTATATTATACTGTAGCGAGTTAGGGTCTCATAGTCTAGTGGTCTGGGCGCCTAACCCTTCACAGATAAGATCAACAGTTTGATTATAGCTGGTAGTAATTAATTTAATTAATTATCTCTGTAACCTTTGGGAGCTTTCAAATGTGAAACCCTGTAGTAGTAAGACCATGTGATATATATATTTGGCTGATAAAGAATTCTTGAAAGGAGCCCCAAGCCATGGAGAAGACTGGACACTGCATGTGACATGGGTCACAAAAGGTATTACTGCAGAAGGTTGTGTATATGAATTCACGATAGTATTCCGCAAAAGATCTGGGTCCGGTCTGGGTCTGGTTTGGTCCGCCAATGCACCAAGTTCAAATCCATGATTTTTTAGATCTGTACATGTTCGGACCTATATAAAGATCTAGTCGAGTAGTATCTAGTCCGGATTCATTAATATATAAGTGGTATAATTATAATTTTTTTTTTTTGAAAACTGATATTTTTTTTTCTTTTGAAACCGATCTTTTTTTTTTTCTTTTAAACCAGAATAATGTAGAGGTTCATTAAGAACCTGCTAGTCCTTTTTTTTTTTTTTTTTTTAATCTGATCATAATTTTTTTTTTTTTATCACAGTCTTTTTTTTTATAACTTAAAACCAAAATTTAATATGAATTAAAACTAGATGATATAAAGACCTGTATTTAACTTTTTTATCTATTACTTACAATAAAAGTTATTTAAAAAAAAGTCAACTCAGAAAAGCCTACATTTAAAAAAAAAACTGCCTTTAAAAAACATGCATATAAAAAGCTGAAGTTTCTCAATGTTAACCTTGTCAGAAGAACCTAAAGGCCCGAGAGAAATATATATGGATGAATTATATCCTGGTGACTTATATCTAGATGAACCATACCAAGATGATTTATATCAAGGTAGTTCATATCATGATAATTCATATCAAGATAATTCAAATCAAGATGAATCGCATCCAAATGGGTCCTACCAAAACGATTCATATCTAGAAGAACTATGCTCAAATGAAAATAAATTATACTCAAAAGAGTATTGGGGTGAATTATACCAAGGTGGAATGTACCAAAACAAATCTTGGATAGACAAATCTAACCTGGACGAATCTCACCCAGACGAATCTCACTCAAATGAATATCGCCCAGACGAATCTCGCCTAGATGAATCTTGCCCAGATGAATTATCACAAACAGAGTACTAATAATAGATATAAAGCCTTGTCTTTAATCTTTATTCTTTATTTATTAACTTTTTTATTGTATATTATAGATTTATTATATGGAAGTATTGTAAAAAGGAGAAGAGTAGTGCACAATGTGGTATATGTGGTAGAAATTTAGTTTATACTGATGGGACAACATCAAATCTTCTAAGGCATCTTAAGAGATATAAGGGCAAAGTGCCTAAACTGACTGATATAAAGAGGGGTATTAACATTTTAGATATGTTGAATCAAAATAGTCATCGTGAACTCTTCAGCCAACAAAAATTTATTAGCATTGTAAAAAGATAGGTTGTAAAACATAATAAGTCATTTCAAATCATTGAAGATAATGAACTTAAATCAATTTTTACTTATTTAGAACCTCGTGTAGCAGGTAAAAAAGAATTTAATAATAAAATATATTTATTTGAAGTAAGATATAAATATTTGAGTTTTTTTTTTAGTATCTTCTACTGACCTTATAAAACAATATATTATAAACAACTTTGAGGAAGAATGTGAATAACTTAAAAAAGGAATGCAAGAAGTTCTCAGATGAATAGCAATAACTACTGACCTTTAAACAACTACTACTAATGAAAAGTTATTCATATGTGTTATGATTCATTATCTAAATAAATCATGGAAAATGAAATATATACTACTCGATTTTATTTTAATAGAAGAATCACATACGGGTCTTGCTATTGCGAATACTATAGAAAATTGCTTTCAGGAAAATAGAATTGTCTCAAAATTAATAGCAATAATATGTAACAATATATCTTCTAATATTAAGTTTTTGTACGACTTTTCTAATTCCTTGCTAAAAGCTGGTTTTAGGTTTGATAGTACACAACAGTTAATGCGCTGTTTCAATCATATTTTGAACCTTGCCATTCAATGTATTTTAAAAGTTGTAGGACATAAATTAGAAAAGGTTATTATTTTATCTAAATATTTTTTTTTTGTAATTTCAAGTAGTGTTGCTATAAAGCATTACTATATTAGAGTTTTTACATATATATATTATTTTAGTTATGTGGATTAATTAGAAGTATTAGAGGGTCAAAAAATTGCCATAAAAAGTTAAAACAATCTAGCTTATTGAAGCCAATTCTTGACATAGTGACATGGTGGAACTCTATCTTCTATATGTGTGAACGAGCATTAGAGTTGCGAACAGTATTAGAGAAAATATCTTTAGTTGATGTAGAATTACATCAATTTATTTTAACTGAGGATGAATAGGAAAAAATTAAACTTCTTGTTGAAGTTTTGTTACTCTTTAAAGATAGTTAGTATATTATTGATGAAAATTAGCATACAACAAATTTATTTACCACTTACTTTTAATTCAATTTAGCAACTATTTTTATGTCATCGTCAGAATATCCAACATTATCAACTGTCATCCCTCTCTTTAATTCATTACTTGAAGCGCTTAAAGAAGCTAGAAGAAAAAAGATTCTAACATGGCTTAAGCAAAGGTGTAAAGCTATATTTAATAAATTACTAGAGTATAGTCAGAAAATAAATTTTTTACATATTTTAGCAGTAGTGCTAGATCCACATCTTAAAATCCAATATTTTAAAGATTTTGGATAGTTGTCTCAATTAATCACTAAAATTAAGAATATGTAAGTATTTTCTTTTGTATAAAAAGTTCTATATTTAAATGTATATACATTTCTATTGATAATACTCATTAATTATAAATATACTAATTTATATATTTTAAGTATTGAAGATATATATAAAAGTCAGTATGCACCTCTTCCTGCTCAGGAAACAGAAAGTTTAACTATCAAGCCATCTACAAGTATAATACTACGAATCTATAAATAAAAACATACAAAATGGCAAAGTGAGCTTGATATATTTTTAATAATGTCATGTATAGACCAGCATACTGATATTTTAGAATGGTGGCGAGTAAATGAATCTAGCTATCCGCATCTTGCAAAATTCGCTAGAGACTGCTTTCTAATACCTGCTATGAGTATTTCAAATGAGCACATTTTTAGTATTAGTGATGATATGTTAAATAACAAGCGAAATCGTTTAGATGGAAAACTGTGCAAGTGACAATATGCTTGAGGTCGTGGTGGAGAGGACTAGAAGATTAATGCAGGTAATTTTATTATAAATTGTCTAATTTTAATTCTTATAGAATTTTATTTTTAGATCTATTAATTGTGATATTTTTTTTTTGTTTTTAGATTTTTTTTTTTGGTGTTCAACAAAATGGGATGCTAAATCCAGGCCTGTTTCAAATTCATCTCAACGAATCAAGATGAATCGAATTGAAAAAAATAAAGTATTCATTTATTATCAAAAACCTTTATAAATGGGAATATTGGTAGAAAATTTAATATTAAATATGTTTCTAAAACAAAGGAGGCTAATACAAGGTATTTATTTATTATTAGTAAGGTAATCTGGTAGTGGAATCAAAATTGAAAAGAATTTAAAAAGCTGCAGAGATTGATTACTCTAATAGAAAGGTTTAATTTGATAATTATTATTGAAACAGAATTTTAAAAATTAATAAATAAAATCCAAATTTTTGCGTATCTCTAGTATGAATTAATTGTATTTTTTTTTTTTAATTAACCAATATATTTATTTATATTGAGCTTGCCTTTAACTATCTAATAATAAGTTGGTTTATTTGTCTACTTGGCCAATTTGAATTAAATATTGTGGGGCTATCTTTTGGAAAAATTTATTTATTGGAAATGATAATATAATACTACAATATAACCTGTCAAAACCGATACTGCCAAAACCAATAACCTGTCAAAACTGATAAAAAATTAATCCACCATCTCTTAATTGAACATAGTAATTTTACTCTTCAAACCTGATAACCTGTCAAAATTAATACAAATTCGGTTCATCATGCACATCAGATTTGACAGGGTATACTGTACTTTAAAATTATGATACATATATAACGGACATGTTAATATGTGTTAAAATATATAAATATTTACTGTAAACAAATAGACTTTAAAAATAGAGATAGGTTTGATGCAATAATTATACAAGTTTTATTAGATTTGGGATTATTTTGACAGATGCATCATGTGGTTGATATATAATAATTATTAATAATTATCATTATAAAATTTTAATTAAAGTCCAATTATAAAAAGTCGCAGTGATGTAGTAATGATGTTATATGAATTGGTCAGATCTAATTCAGATCTGGATCTACTTAACACAGTTTCAGACTCATATTCAGATCCGACTAGTTTTTTTGAATTGGGTTCAGATCTTTTAAAATATTCATCTGATCCAATTCATATAGAACACTAGTATATATAGTGGGGTATATACAAATTAGTAAAAACATTAAGGTTCTGAGTTAGATTAGAACTTAGAGTGCTTCTTGATAGAGGTATCCGAGGATGTCCATCTCACATGTGAGATGGTGCAGACGGTTGCATCTGGACACTATATAGAGTAGCCAGATAAGGTCATAACAACTACTTAGATAGGTTAAAAGTATATATAAATATATGTAATGTTTGCTTAAATAAGTAATAAAGTTAATGACAAAATCGTCAAAGTTAAAATATATATATATATATATATATAATTTACTAAACCTTTACTCAAAATATTTATTAAGCCTTCACTTAAATTACTAATTAAATCTTGCTCAAATTATTTTTTTATAATCTTTGTTTAAATTACTTATTAAATCTTTACTTAAGATATTTTTTTATATAATTTACTAAACCTCTACTCAAATTATTTTTTTATATAACTTATTTAACCTTTGCTTAAGTTATTACTTACTAAACTTTTGGTTAAATTATTTTTTATATAACTTATTAAACTTTTGCTTAAATTTTGTTTTATATATTTATTTGAAAAAAATTAGTAGATTTAATTGTTTTTTCATATATAGTAAAATATTAATTAATACTCTTTCTAACAATCACTTGAACTAATTTTTCTAACCAAAGAAAAATAAAAATTTTATTGAAGAGTTAAGTAAACTATAGTAGTAGTTTGTAGTAAAAGAGATTAACTAGCTATGGGAACTTCTTACTATATTTAGCATGCAAGCCAGAAGTCTAGTCAAAAAGAAAAGACAGATAGCACTCTTGGCAAGTACTATAGATTCTGGTGAACAAAGTTTTATAGACAAAGCTCTGTAGACTATAGTTTTAAAAAAACTTTAATAGTGGTTTTTATACTGTAGAAATAAAAGTTAACCTGGTTTGGAGATTCCATCTTATATTTAGCATACAAGCCAAAAGCAATATATATAAAGAAGAAAAAGGCAGGTAGCACTCTTTACTATAACAAATTTGATAAAACAAAAGTTCTGTTGATGAAACTGCAAAGTTTTTCTTTAGAACTCAGAGGTATAACAAATTATATATTTTTTTTAAAATACATTCCTTTTATTTGTTTAAATAGTTTCTTTTTCTCTTTCTTACACTTCTTCATCGGTTTTTTAAAAATTTTTATAAAAAGTAAGAGATTTGGCTTATCTTCTCCAAAAGATCAGCATTGTTTACTTCCAAAATTCAGATGGACTAGCAAAATGCAACCATGTATTTGTTTAAGGTGCTATTTTATAGAACTTGGCCTGGAAACTTTAATTATAGTAGCAGGTAGCTTGAAATACAGGTTCTTAGATAACAGCAGCACCTGGCTTGAGATATAAATTAGAATAGACAACAAAGCTATCTAAAGTTGGTAGGAAGATTAGAAAGTAAATTTAACGTTTTATAGAAGAGATATACAAATATTGTATTTGTTATATAATTTTTATTAGCTACGCACAAGTTATAATAGTGCTTTCAAAGTTTTAGATTTCTTTTTATATGTTTTTTTTTTTTTTGTTTAAGCAATCCTGCCTTTATTCATATAAGCTATTATATAATTTATATACAAATATATTAAATTCTTACAACTTGTTGCTTTAACTCAATAAAAACTCACCAGGCTAAATACCCAATATGACTTGCTAT